CCTCAGGTGGGTCATTTACTCTTTTGGAAACTCCTGTTGCCTTTTGTAAAAATAGGACACATAGCTTCACCTTCCAGTGTTCCTGTGAAGATTAAATGTGATGTATAATGAAGCTACGGACACTTAACACAGTACTTGGCATATAGAGGCTCCTTAAGTAGTTGTGATAATGATTGGAGACTATTGTAAGGGCTCTTAAGAGTCACTTCAAACTGAAGAAATGAATTGTTGCAATCTTGTGGTTTTTTGCTAAATTCTTGACAGGAGAATATTTACAATTTTGTCAGTGGACTAAGATTAGTTTTTTTCTTTTTAAGAGGAGAGTAGAAATGACCTGTGATCTCTAGAATCTTGACTGAGTCATTGTGAAAATAGATAATATGGAGGCCATTCCACTTTGCCTTTGACTGTTGTTACTGCTCTCTTGGAGAAGGATATTTTTCAACAATTTGGAAAATGACTCATTGGGTGATTTAAACCCATGGAAAGTCGAGTGGGGAAGGGCATTTTGACACTTCTACTTTCCATCCCACATGGATACCCCACTGGGAAGTCCAGACAAAGTGGATGATGGCATGAGTTTACACTTTAAGAAAAGTTAATTAATTCTTCCAACAACCTGTTTTACCTTGGAAGCAGATCCTTCCCCAGTTGAGCTTCCAGAATAGGACCCATTCCTGGTCAATACTTTGATTACAGTCTTGTAAGAACCTCAAAATTCTTCTCAAAAAGTTCTCTTCCATAGAATCAGTGGAGCTACCAGAACCATGGGTGCTAGATGCCCATCTCCAGAAGGAGGCAGTCTAGAACCACAAAAGGTGCTAACTTTTGGGACCCAGTCCACTCAGTCAATGCAGTGGGCTTTGTTTCTTGGAATAGAAGTAGTTGAATATTTTCTTACTCATTTAAACTTTAGCAGCTTATGATTTTGCTTTTTGTAGGTGTAGCCATTGGTTGACAAGGTAGATGCCTTGGTTCTGATAGGTTTTACTTTCTTAGTGTTACAGTGGGTGAGCAGGAAAGCCGCAATGCTCAGACAGTGGAGCAGCACTTGAGGCATTTACCCCCTGAAGAGACCAAAATAAAGAGCTTCTGGGTGATAGTCACATGAGTGTCCCAGTGCCTGGGCTCCCGGGTACTATGTGGGAGATCACATGCTTTCTGTTTGATCATTAGTTGATTTCAGACATTTTTTTCTTGTTCAGTTCTTATATGGACCTTACATCTTAAACGTTGTTACAAATTTTTTTTTTTTAAAGAAAAGAATTTTACATTAAGTCCCCAGTAGGCACACATGTGTGTGTATCTGCACTGAAATAAAAGTGTCTCAGATCAATGCTTTACTACATGAGTGGTGCTCTGATATATTCTATTGCATTTGAGTTTATTCTATTTCATTAGAAGAGATAGTCAATATCTATTGAATTGATTTTATAATCCACTATTGGGTCACAACCTGAAGTTTAAAAACACTGTGTCTAGAAAATCTAGTGACTTTCAGTTTGAAAACTCTTTCCTCCCTTGAAACTGAACCCTTCTGGGGTCTTCCCCTACTTCCTTGACTGCATATTCTCTGACTCCTTTATGGATTTTCTTTCTCCTACAGTAGGTGCCTTCCTGGGCCAGCCCTCTGTTCTTCTCTTGATTAAATTTCCTCACAGATTTCACCTGTTCCATGGCTACAACTGTTATCACTATGGTAGTGATTTTTACCACCCCTCATCTGTTGTGTTGTCTTACTGTGGTGACTTGTGTGTTGCTATGATGCTGGAAGCTATGCCACCCGAATTTCAAATACCAGCATGGTCACCAACAGTCTACAGGTTTCAGCAGAGCTTCCAGACTAAGGAAGACTAGGAAGAAAGACTTGGCAATCTATTTCTGAAAATTAGTCAATGAAAACCCTACATATAATAACAAAAGATTGTCCGATACGGTGCTGGAAAATGAACCCCCCTAGGTTGGAAGGCACTCAAAATACACAATAGTTGCAACAATGGACTCAAGCATACCTACAATCATGAAGATGGTGCAGGACCAGGCAACATTTTGTTCTGTTGTACATGGGGTCGCCATGAGTTAAAGCCGCTCACAACAACCACTGTAATTCTTAAGTATATATTCCCAACTCTAGATATTCTGCAGAATTTTATATCTATGATTCCAGCAGCATTCTGAACAGGTCCACATAGCTTTATCCCTATCATCTCAAGCTTGGCATGCTCCAAATAAAAATCATTGTCTTCTCTAAACATCTCAGTTTCCCTTCTCAATCTATTAATGGCTTCTCTGTTTACACGTTTACCCAGGATAAAAATTTCAGTGCTATTGCCGACTCTTTCTTTTCTTTTGTCCTCTGTAACTAACCTGTCACCCAGTCTTATTAATACATTGCTCAAAACCTTCCTCTCACATTTCCATCCTTGCCACCATACCTTCTTGATCCAAAACAAAACAAAACATTGGATGGCTTGTTATCCTTAGAATATTGGGCTTTGGCCTCAAACCTTATCTCCGTCATTGCTCTAAATGTACCCTACACTGGATAACAATTTGATTCCCAATTATGACCTGTAAAGAAATAAATCTTTTCTGGTCACTCAGAAATCATGCTCACCTTGTTGACTAATGTGGCACTTACCATATGTTGCCTGTCATATCATGCCACATTTTGGGCTCATTATCATGTCAGTAGGTACTTCCTAGAGGGTTGAGATCTGGGAGTCATACTGAATCCTCCTCTCAACGTCCAAACGGTAACCAAGCCATATTGATGCTGTCCTCTACGCCAATGATTCCAGACTTTAACGGGCTTATGAATTACCTGGTGATCTTGTTAAAATAAAGATTTCTGGTTCAGCAGGGCAGAGATGAGGCTTGAGATTCTGCGTTTCTATTTAGCTCCCAGAAAATGCTGAGGCTGCCATTCAGAGGACCGCACTTTGAGTCGTGAGCTCTAAAATGTTCCATGTCACTATTTTCATTGGAGCCCTTATCACCTCTCAACCTCCTAACTGGCCTGCCTACTGCCTGTCCCTCACCACCACTAGTCTGTTCCTCGTATAACATTTATCTAACGGCTCACCACCTCATTTACAAACTTCAAAAAACAAAAGTGCATGCAAGCAAATATGCAGCGTCACCCTTTGTAGACCCAGCCTGTGATCTAGGACTGAGCTAGGTGCTTTGCTTGGGACATTCTCGTTCATTTCCTGTTTCCATGACTTCCTTCTTCTCTGACTAACTCCTTCTGACCTATGGACCATTTTGGCTGCTCTGCATTTCCCCACAATACTGATTTTAATTTTGCTCCAGCCCAAGCCAGGCTCTATGCACTGCGGCACCTAGATTTTTCATGCTGGCTTGGATTCCCACCAATGCCTTTAATGTGTTCCCTTCTTAAATCCACTGTTGCTAAATAGTGTGGATTAAAAAACAGTGGGGCTGAAAAAGCAAAAAGATGACTTAGAGGAAAACATGACTGGGAAGGATAAATGAAGTCATCCATCAAGAGAACTAGCCATGCCTTCCTTGTGTCTGCCTTGAGATTGTGTTGCTCTTGCCGAGTTGGGATGTCATTCCTGCTGTGGGTTTGCCCTGGGGCCTCTGAGTTTCAGGCCTGTGTTATTGCAGGACTCCCTTGTAGATAATGGGAAGCAATGATATCTCAAATGCTGCATTTCTATTTTATTTTTATTCTTTTATTTCTTTATTCTTTACTGCTGTCTTTATTGCTCAATAGTAGATAATATATTGCAAAGAGAACCACCCTCTCATCAACGAGGCAGAGGCCAGGGAAGGGTCAACTAGAGAGAGATTCTGGATAAAAACAGATGGAGAGGAGGCAGAGGTGGGAAGTGAGATTCCTGGGCCTGGGGGTCCCAGATCTGCTCACCTGTCTATGTAATTTTCAGTAGGTGATCTGGCTTCTTGGGCCTATTTCCTCAGTTCTCAGAGGGATAGTAGGTTTTAACAGAGCACTGTTTAGCAGGCCTTAAGGATAAGCTAAGGAGCCCTGGTGGCACAATGGCTAAGCACTCAGCTGCTAACTGAAATGTTGGCAGTTTGAACCCACCAGCTGGAATCCACCATTGGTTGTGTGAGAGAAAAGACCTGGCAATCTTGCTTTGTAGAGATTACACACTAGGAAACCCTATGGGAAAGTTCTACTCTGTCCCATAGGGTCACTATGAGTTGGAAGCTACTCGATGGTACCCAAGAACAACAACAAAGATAAGCTGTTAGGGCCATGCATTTCTGTTCTTCAAAAAGCAAATAATGCTCTTTTCCCTAGAATCACACCATAGTGCTCTCAATGCCTATGAAGTTTTCCTCTTCCAGGAGGTCCTTGTGTGACTTTCCCAGGCTAAGGAATCAGATTACAGGATCACTAGCACATAGGTCAAAAGGCATTTTTATTCTCATATGCGAAGTTTGTGAAATTCCTCCATGGAAGAAAGCAACGCGTTTGGGAGCAAAATCTCGACATAACCATTTTCCACCCTAAGGAAGCAGCCTCGCTTTCCAGTATGTGAATATTTTGCAGTGTGTCCCCTGGGGCATGCATGTTTCAAGAACCTTGCACATCACTGCTGCACTGACTAGGCCCCCATGTCCCTCCCCTACTCCCTAATCACCCAGAGTTTCAGTGTGTACAAATCAAGAGACTGACAAGAGCCCTGGCTGGGATGGGCAGCAGAAAAAACAAAGTGCCTGGTAAAGAAGTTGGTGGAATGTGGGAGGCATGAGAAAGGAAGAAAGAGATTTTCAGCAGCAGAGGGGACCCCTGAGACACATTTGCAAGATGGACAATTCGCTCCAGCGCGATTTCTGCATTTATACCTCTTTGATGGCCAGCAGGGTGATTGAAAGAATGCCTGCTACCTGGTTAATGATGGGGCTGTTAGGTGGCAGCAATGAGCACGCAGGCCACGGGATCCATGGGCTGACAAAAAGACCATTGAACATTGACTTTTCCACTTTTCTTTCTCTTTCCCCAGGGCAGCCGCTGAAGTTCTGGCAGCACTGCTGAAATCCAGTAAGTACCTCTTTTGAAAAGTAGTTATTTCTCTCCCCTCTGAATTCAGCGAAAGATACTATTCGGTCTCCATGGCTCATTTTCAACCTGTAAGGCGGTAGAGCCATGGCCTGGATCTTTGGGTGAAATGGAGAATATTATGGCTGCTCCAAGAACACAAGTGCAAAGGAGGAGTTACTATCTCTCCATCTTGGCATATCCACGTCCATAGGTCTCTGGGTGGTGCAAACAGTTTGTGCTCAACCACTAATTTAAATGTTGGCAGTTCAAATCCACCCAGCGGCACCACAGAAGAAAGGCCTGGTGGTCTACTTCCATGAAGATTACAGCCAAGAGACCCTGATAGAGCACTTCTACTTTGTAACATATGGGTTCACCATGAGTCAGAATCTACTCAATGGCAATGGGTTTGTTTTTTTTTTGTTTAGGCATGCCCATACAGAAGGCCACCAAGACATTTGACCCTAAAGGGGATATGTTGCCCACTGGAGACCATGGGGTCCTTCAGATTGGACCAGCAGCCTTTAAGAACTGTTGGAATAAACTCCAGGTTCCAGTGGGATTGTCCTATGGAAGAAAAGGCGATGGCCGTGGGTGGGAAGCAGGATTCTTGGGTTTAATTCCCAACTCAGCTCATGACTCTGTACTCTTGGGCAGGTGGAATGTTAGAAATTACTTGGACAGTGTAGATGCTGACAACAAATTTATATTAAAAAGTTGGCTTTTTTCTCAGTTACTTGAATGCTTGCAAAAGAATAGCTCTGGGGGTCTGAATAATTTGAGGATGTTTGCCTAGTAGCCCTGGCATAATTACATTGGGAGTCAATTTCACGTGTGAAATCTAATAGAAGGCATCATGCACTTGGGAGTGAAGGAGTCTTAGTTTAATGTTTTCATTTTTTCCCTCCTTACCTCTTTATCTATTTTAATTTGACGCCTTGGAAACCAGCTGCTTCAATTGTGATATTTGTTTCTTAACAGGGAGCCCAAGGCCTGTGGGTAATAGGTGAACTTTAATAAAGCTTATAAATAAATAAATAATGAAAACACCCTCTCCCCACTAACTATACATCTTTGTCAACTCCAAGCACAGAGAAAGAGCCATATCACATGGTGCTTCCCCGTATAGACTGAAGGAAAAATTGAAGCTTGAGTTCATTTGGTTAGTTGGAACTTTATACAACACAAAAGTCTGTCCACAGCTTCATGATCTGCAGGTAAAGTGAGGGTGGAGAGAGCAGGCTGGGGAGCTGAGAGCAAGTGGGTATGAAGCCCTTGAAATAGGCGGGCACGGGCAAGTGTTACCTGTGGGTCCTTTGGAGAGAACTGTTCATCCGTAAGACTGGGCTTGCCTGGTGCTTGGCATCTCGGTTCTCATTATTTACCTGCTCACACTGTTGCTCCCAATTATAATGCCAGGTGCTTGATGCAGCAAGATGAGGAGTTATTGGGTTGCAGGAAGTAAAGATGTAAGAATGGCCCAGGACCTGGCTAGGCTAACTGAAGAATACTGTGCCTAGGGAAAGTGGCTTTCTCCTGTATTTCCCAGACCAGGTGTGGCGGTGGAGGACTTGATGTTTCATGAGAAGAGAGCACTGTTGATTAAAGCCTACTTACCTTTCTACACACATACTTGGCCCTTTAGCGTAGAGTTGAGTCTTCTAATATAAAATCAACCTACCACGTGCAAAATTCTGAAAGTAGTCATGTAACAGTAAGCATGGGTGGGCTTGGGAATCTGAAGTCAGCAAGGCCTTCTCAAGTGGTGGGTGGCTAGCAGGATGAAATGCCCACCAGTAACAGGAAAACAGGACTGAGGGACCACAGGAGGGATCTGGATGGGAGACTTGGAGGTGGCCTGCAGTAACAACAAAAAGAAAGGGAAAGAGCAACTGGGCTACATTAGGAAAATGTCATTATTTTGTCTCAGCTCTCTCGTCCACCAAGTAGCTAGTGCATGAGAAGCCAGTGTAGGATAGGTGGATGGTAAGAAGAGAGAAATGAACTCTGATATGCCTCTCATCTCTCTCCCCTCCTGAGCAGCAGTAAGCAAAGTAAATTTGGATGTCCCAGGCCCCTTTTCCAATTGCTTCAGCAGTTTGGCATCCTAAAAATGCAAAATTATTGCTGAGTCAAGGGTCCTTCTATAGCTACGTGGGTAGAGTGGTCTCCTCCAAACCCCATGCATTTCATTGTATCAGCTTCTGTCTCCTCCTCTGCTCACGTATGTACAAATCCGACCCTAAATTTTCCTGTATTGAAAACTTTGCCCTTTTGTTTATCTCATCCAAAGACACTTAGCTTTTTTATTACCAAAATTTAATAATACATTGATTAAGAAATAGTGCTTCGTCTATTGCAGGTAATTTTTTTTTCTCTCATAAAACATGTTTTCCTTTATCTTTCTGTCTTTTACTCTCTGTCCGCACGCTGCCTTTCCTCTCTCATGTCTATCTCGATCTCATCTCTGTCTCTCTAACAGCTCTATGTTTCTACATCTCCCTCTCCCTCTCGCTGTATCTCTATCTCTCCATCATCTTTATGTCTATACCTCTGTTGCTACCTCTATCTCTATCCCTATCTCACTATCATTTCTATATTTCTATCTGTACCTCCATCTGTCCCTCTACCCCTGCCCCTACCTCTATCTCTGTCTCTCTTTCATATCTATGTTTCTGTCTGTACCTCTGCCTCTACATCTACCCATATCTCTATCTTTCTTTCTCTGTCATCTCAATATTTCTAGCTCTACCTGTATCTGTACCTGCCCCTGTATCTCTATCTCTACCACTGCCTCTGTCTCCGTCTCTTTTTTCCCTCATCCTCATCACCTTTTCTCATTGCCTCCTTCACTCTCCGTCTTTCTCTTCACTCCCTCACCTCATCAGGTATAAATGCACTTTTGAAAAATTGTGGCCCTGGAAGCAGCACTTGAATGAGCATGTGGCAATGGGATTGTGCCTACTTGTACTGGCTCCGGTGATGAATCTTCACATAATGCCTTGGTACTCACCTTGCTGCTGAGATTTAAAGGTCACGTTGTTGCAATGAGAAAACACCTTCTGGTTCAGGCCCTAAATCTTAATAAGGGAAAGATAGATCTACTTCAGACCTCCCTCCAATTTAAGAATTAGCATTTACTGAAGTCTGGAGGTTTGCAGAAGTTGAGAACAGGAAAGCAAGTTAGAAAAGGAAGAGAGACAGAAAAGAAAGGAGGAGAAGGAGATGTAAAAGAGCTAATGGGAAGTTTGGCAGGGAGACAAGACTTCTCACTGATTTTCCTAGTTAATGCTCTGTCTGGCTGGCTCACAGGGACAGCCTGTCAGCCTGTTGCTCCAGGAGCATGGGAAGGGAGTGCTTCTAAATGCTGAGAGCTCTGATCATGCCCAGATAACGTCGTGCTCTCAGTGGGCGTCTGCTGTGGCCTGGCGGTCAGCAATGCCGCCAACTGGAAGACGCGATGGCCAGATGGTTGTGTTCTTGCAAAATGTCAAAGGAGGAGCTGTTTTTGAAATGCAACTGAACTATGGCCTTTATAGGAATTCTGGGCACTCAGAGGAGTCCAGAGAATGGCAGTATATGTTTCAGGATGGTTAGCGTTGTGATTCCTTTGACCAGTGGATCCATGCAGCCCATGTCTTCCTTGCACTTGTATGAACACAGAGGCTCTGTAACCTGTATACAGGACTTGTAATCTGCAGATCTGCCTCACAGGCATGGTTCCACCCAAGAGTTCTGCCCACATAGTCTGTTTCCACTTTTGGTTTCCAGATGAAGGCCATAAGATAGACTATGAGAGCTGGTAAAGACCTTCAAGGCTACTTAATGCAGTTGGATTGAAACTTTTTTTTTGGAGTAGGGAGCTGAGAGTCCTGCCCATTCAGATCCCATTGCTTCTCCCGAAAGTGACCCCTGAGACACATTCACAGAAACCTAAGGCTTCCCAGAATCTGATAAACTATTGGTCAAATCCACCCCTCCTCATTTCATATGTGGAAACTAAGGACCAGAGAAAGGAAATGACCTGTCCAGCTCTCTGCGACTTTGAATGTTTCAGCTGTCAGGGAAGAGTGTCCAGCTCACAGTGACTCCTTTAAGTCTCAATACCTCTCTCAGGTGCTTTCCCTGAATCCTACCCAACTCTTGGCCTCTGCCCAGCCTTAGGTTTCCATGTTAAACTTTTTCATAGAACCTATATTTATACTTCAGAGAACTTACCATAACTATAATGAGTGAATTGTGTATATTCGTGTGTATATATGTATATTTTTCCCACTGGGTTATAGCTTCATGAGGTTGGGATCCCTACTGTATCCCCCATACATCACATAGGACTCTGTGCATAGGAGACACTAATTTACTAATGCTGACTAAGGATTCCAGTTTCCCAACTTCATCCAAAAAAAAACCAGACCAGTTCCATTGAGTCAATTCTGACTTGTGGCAACCCCATGTATTGCAGAGTAGAACCACACTCCATAGGGTTTTCAAATCTGTAACATTTCAGAAGGAAACCACCAGATCTTCCTTCTGAGGTGCTTCTGCTTGGGTTCAAGAAGAATGGAGGGAGGGGGAGATGTAACAACGTTTTGGGTAGTAATCAAGTACTTTACTGTTTGCACCTCCCTGGGACTTTTCTGAATTAAGCCTTATGCATTTACTTTCAACATGCCTTAGTGAAAAGGCCAAACCAGTTCTTATCCCTAGAAAGAATACAATTGTGGTTTTGATTGTAGACCTAATGTCTCTTCTTCCATCGTAACTTCTGTAGAAGCATGCAGTGTATTTCTGTGATGAGCCAAATACCTGCCGTGAATAATATTGATAGATTTTTGCATTTGTCACACTGGGAGGGGCTACTGTGATCGACTTTGTGTGACTGCAGCACAGCAAGCTGTATCCTTCATGCCGCTGGATTGAAACAACAGTAATATCTACCATGTATTCAGTTCTTTTTATGTCAGGCACTGTATATACATTTAGCCGATTAAGGAGGTATT